CAAGCCACAAATAAACAAACGAAGTGTTTGATCGTTTAAATAGCTGCTCGCCAGATTTTATTGCATTATAAAGAAAAGTAATTGATATTCGATTTTTGATTAATAATTGATTTATGTGGATAGTGGCATTTATGTGGATAGTGGCATAGAATTTAGCATTGCGTCATGGTAAATGTTATTCCTACTAAGTGGAAGTAGTTGTGTTTTTTTTTTAATTATTCTCAATTACAGTTGTAAAAACCTTATTTTGAAATTAGTATGAAAAGTATGAATTTATTTTTTATTGCTTTTATGTAAAATTAAATGATTTTGCTTTAACTTTTAAAAATGGTTTTAGCGAAGAAATACTAATTGAAGAGTTGCAAGATGTTTTTGAGAAATCTTCTTTTTACCATGGGTTTTGTCAAAAAGATTTTCTTAGATCATCGACCTTCATGCATTCTTGTCAAAGGGTCAGCCCATTTAATTTGCTTTATTTTGATAATTTTTCTAACTCCAAGTTCATTTTAAAAAATCCTGTAAAGTTCTAAATTATCTTTTCTTCTCCACATGAATCGTTTGTTTCTTATTTGCTTAAATATGAATTCGTGACTTTTAATGCATATAATTTTTTATTTCAATTTTGATAAGGATTCCAATAATGTGTGCGATTAATATAGAACACCCTGCAAATTAAATCAATAAATTATGTGAAAATGATTTTGAAGTGATTAACAATGAAGTTATCAAATTTAACGAAAAACAATTGTTATCGTATTGTATATGTAAAAAATATGCGTCTAACGTAATACAGTGCATAATGTGTACACTGCAAAAAAATTTCGGATAAAATTACAGTTTAAAGTACCAACAATTAGGTATGTCATCTATGAAATCCATTTTACTGTAAAATCGTAAATTATCATACCCCAATTTTTACAGTATCATTTATTTAATTTGAGGGATTCAACCATTATACGGTTATTTTAACTGCAAAAACTACGGTACATTTTTTTTCCGTGAAAATGTTCCGGCAAAAGTAGATTTTACGGTAAAAAGTACCGTCAGCTAGAATATAGGCACTTTTTACAGGAATTTTTCGCAATGTAGGTAAGTGTTCTATTAATAACATGAAAATAAGCAAATAAGCGTTTCCTTTTGCTTTGATATTTTTTTAAAAAAAAAAGTACCTTTCCTAATTTCATATTTGTATATTGAATAAAATTTTTATAATTAACTAAACATGCAAGCATTTTTGACACATTTTTATTAAAAGATGTAATAAAGTTCGAAAAACAAATAATTAAAAAACAAAGCACTTGATTTGAAAGTATTTTATTGCTGAACACATAAAATTGATTTAAAATTTTTATAGCAAGAATATTCTTCTAAAAGTCATGACTAATTACAATTTTAGTTTTGATGGTTGAAATAAGAAGAAAATAAATATTTGTTATGATATAAAAATCCATTACATGAACAAAAACCCCATTCATAAATTGTTTTAATGATGTTCAGATTTAAAATAAAAAAAAATTGTTATGAGTATAAATTCCTTTTAAAATATCATTAAATATAATTAATATTTGAAAAGTATTTTTTCAGTAATATTGTATTTAAAATAACAGAGACATTGAATTTAGTATGCTTTACAGTAACAGAGTAATATCGTTGTATATTCACCATTGCAAATAACATTTTAATCACAAGAAAAATTCTGTGTAAAGTAAGAATATATAAGAAGAAAGAATGGATAAAAATTTGCGATAATAGTTGTTATTGAGAAAAAGTTGTTTTTATAAATTTAAAAAAAATGAATTTCAGAAATTTTACGGTAACAAATGTAACAAAATTGTTATTTTTATATTCTTTGTCAATTAAGGTTTTTGTAATGTTTATTTCTAAAATATTTATTTTCCAAATATCACTCAAGAGAAAAATTATCATCTGACCATCCAAGAGTTGTTTTGCTCATTTATTTTGTTAGATTTTGACTGAAAAGCAAGAATAATATTTTTATTTATTTTTTGATAAAACATTGTATTTAGTTCCAAAATTTCTTAGCAAAATAAAATAATAAAAAAAAACATAATCAAGTACTGAAATACAGTAAAAATGTTTTATTTTCAAATTCAAAGAAGCTTAAAATACACAAAACACGGCTCAATGTTGAACACTAATAAGGGGCAAATTTGACTCAACCTTAATAAGATGTTAAATATAACCATATTTTCGTTAAAGTTGAAGTATAGTAATGTGTAATAAAATTGCAAATTATGATAATCAGGTTTAACTTAGAATTATATTAATGAGTTCAACTTAGAACCATATTATGGAATTCAACTTAGAACCATATTAAGGTGTTTAACTTACTACCATTTTAAGGAATTCAATTTAAAACCATTTAAGGAATTCAACTTAGAAACATAATAAAAAATCCTGCATAGAACCATGTAAAAGAATTCAATTTAAAACCATTTAAGGAACTCAACTTAGAACCATATAAAGGAATTCAATTTAAAACCATTTAAGGAATTCAACTTAGAATCATATTAAGGTATTCTACTGAGATCCATATTACAGTATTCAACTTAGAACCATATTAAGGAATTCAACTTAGAACCATATTAAGGAATTCAACTTAAAACTACATTAAAGAATTCAACTTTCAGCCACATTCCGATATTCAACTTAGAACCATATTAAGGATCAGCAAAATTAAACAATATTATATTTCAACAAGCTCTGAATTTTCTAGCAGTGTATAATGAACTAGTATATTGTACTGGTAGTAAATATGAATTTAACTCACAAAAAATATTCAAGGAAATGAAATATTTATTTATGATACATTGCTAAAATAAAACTCAAAGACAACATTTATAAATCCCCCCCCCCTAAAAAATACTAAATAATTTACAAATCACAACAAATACGTGAATTTGTAAACGTTGTTTTTTTAAAAATTTATTCTCACAATAAATGAACACTTTAAAATTAAAACTTAAGGTGGTAAAGAGTACTTTTAAATATTTAAACAAATATTGTCTCATATAATAAACAACTTAGTAACATGTTGTAAAGTTTTGATATATTGTATTAAAAATAAATAAATAATGCTTTCAGTTGATTAATTTTTTTAAATAGAATCACTTATGTTAATAATGTGAAATTGATAATATTATAAATGAGTATAACTTAATCAATATTGTATAATAATCATTTGTGATAAAGTTAAATGTTGAACTGAATTAATGAGCACGCAGTTTGATTAAAAATGAAGGCCATTAAACAACTCCCTGAATTAGTCAGTATAAAAGGATTTTTCTGAATTGAAATTTGAATGCATACATTTTAAAAATAAAAAAATCTTTTGTAATATATTACAATTAAAGAGATGATGTCATTATTTTTATTCTTAATGAAATATCTTCTTATTTAAATAAATGGTAGATAAGTGAAAAAAATACAGGTAAGCAATTGCTTACTATCCACAATATAAAACACATAACTTCCGATTAAATATAATCGTAATAAATAATTAACAGCGATACTATCCATTTTCTTGCCCGATCGCGCAATAATAATAAACTATACACAATTATGAAATCAATCCGTAATTCTTATGATGTAACTCTTTTTATAGAAAAATGCTTCGTAGACGTTACTTTCAATGAAAGTTAAGATGTAATATTCTTAAGTCTACCCAACAAAAGAAGTCTCGAATGCTGTACATGTAAATAGTACTTTCGGCATTTATGCAATATATATATCATCATTAAATTTGTAAATCAACAGATTTCAAAACTCTTTAGTTAATCTTCACTGAATTTTGAATATGCAGGATGGTCCTAAAATATATGTCAAAAATGTAAAGGTATGTAGAGGGGTCCTAAATAAGCATATTTCGTATAGGATTGTGTGTGCTGTAATACCGCCTTGAGCCGGTAGGGAATCGAATTTTCTTTTGTCTTTAACTTGTCTTTTCAGTTTCCTTTGATTCCACAAGCTAGTGCTTTAATGTGTCATTACCGCACACACATTCCTATCCGAAATATACTTATTTATGTTCCCTCTACCTACCTTTACATTTTTGACATATATTTTAGGACCACTCTGATTATTTGCATGATTTTTCTGTTGGGCAACTATTTTGCAGAACTTAAAAAAGCTGATAATAAACATAAAAGTTTGGTAAAAATATATAGTTAGGTTTTAAAAGATAATACGTTTAAACAATATTTGATACATGCAACTTTTCAAACAATTAGAATGCAGTTAAAATGCAGAGGAAAAAGTTAAATAATCTTTCATATGTAAGGCCTAAAAGCAAAAGTAAAACAAACGCTTGCATTAAGTTAAGCTATTTTCAATTTCCTAATACAAATAAACAAAGTACATTTATAATACTTGAAGGACTAGATGTTCCTCATTTTAGTTAGGAACTTTCAAAATAAAAATTTTTAAATTTCAGATTATTTAATCCTAGTAGTGGAAAAAATATTAAAAATAAACAGATAAATAAATTCGTATTTATTTTTTGAATCCAACACTGATAACATGCAATTTTAACACAAATGTTTGAAAACGTTTTATAACACGAGGTAAAAATATATATATATATATGCAGACATGGGTCGAAAATTCATGTTTAGTAAAATGTAAAAACAAAAACAAGAACATTATCAAAACTTGACGGAGCATTATCGAGATCAATTAGAGGAAAATAAGAAATTAATTAAATCGAAGATAAAGAAATAGAACAAATAAATCAAATCAAAAAACCAGTTCCATTTTTAGGAAGAAGCTAAGAATTAGGACAATGAAAAAATTTTAATGATTTTAAACCCTTCTTTTCTAAAATCGACCTCAATAATGATTTATTAAATTTGGATAACGTTCTTTTTTTCTCCCTTCAAAATTAGATTGCGACACATTTTTAATTTCATCAATTAAAAATAAACAACAATTCAAATATTACGAAACATCCTAAACCATAATAATTTCCAGTTTTAAATTTAATGGAAATCTTAAATGTTTTTGATGACCACACATTCCAAGTTATTTTAGGTTTTGAAATTAAATGATTTTCATTTCATATAATTTAGTATGAAAAGAAATAATGTGCGTAATCGTTAAAACAAGCCTTTTAACTGACAATTTGGATTATTTTTTTATGAATTTATTTCCTTAAAATTACCATGATTTTGTCTTTGATCGAAGTACCTAATGACGAACGCAGAACACTATACAACACCTATAAAATATTTATATACTCTCTGTGGATAATAAGCAACTACATAAAATACATTTACATATATTTATATAGACAAACTGTATTCAATATTGTATATTGTACACTCACAGGAAAAAAAAAAGATGAAATGAAAACAAAATCTTTGGTCTCAAAATAATTAAAAATGATTTACAAACAAATATCATTCATTTTTTTCATCTACTTTAAACTTACCCTGTGTATCATTTACATTTACACCTCATATTTAAAAAAAATATTTGAAGCTTAAAGTTCTTTGGTTTCCAGGGTAGCAAAATGGAACTCCGGAATTGAACGCACTATACAGAATTAAGTAGATATCCCAAAGCAGTGTCAATGTTCTTGATCAATAGTCCCTCTAAACTGAGATCCTTTATGTCCGTTATTGCAAATCACGCTCAAATTGCGCCAAAGGAAGAGATTTCCAGCCAAATCTCATTACCTTGTGCAATGAATTCACTTAAAAACGATCTGATACAGCTTCTTTTGCAAATCTTATGATATGTTTGTACTAATAAATAAAAGCACCACTAATCTTTTAATTTTTTCAATTGCTTTAAACAAAACAGGAAAAAATCCCACTTCTATAAAAGTTAATCTTCATAAGACGAACAAAATTAACAAGTCTTGACTACGTTATTTGAAATCACTTACGATTTCAAAGTATTAAAAATACAATAAAAGGAACAATATCAACTTTGGAAGTGACCAATTGGAACAAAATAGCTTCATCGTAGAGAATTTTATACAGCGCAGGCGTTTTGTGAAGACCTGAATCAGCTCGTCGGTTGAAGGCATGTATATGAAACGGTCCTTTTCGTCAGTTCCGCTGCCGTATATATTCGTTTAGCAACCGGATCACCACTGAGAAAACCGTTGGCTGATGTGTGTCACTTAGAAATCACGACCAATGTCTCGTCTGAAGGAATTGTCTTAAAAATTGTTCACTAGCATCGTTCGGCTTTGAAGTTGTTCGGACTGATGGGAGAGGCAGCGGCTAGGCTTGGGTTAGCACCAGTCGTTGTCCTCGCAGCACTTGGTGTGTAATAGTATGAAGGGTCTGAAAGAAAAAATAAATAAAGCTATTGAGTCATCATCATAACACCTATAAATGCAAAAGTTACAGAAAGTTACTCATAATATGAAAAAATTACAACACCGGAATTTTTTTATGAGTCAAAGTAAGGAGACTTTCTACCAAAGATTCACTTTCAAAGTAATAAATAAATTAGTTCACAATTCATAAATTTACAAGTTTGAAGGTGTTCTGCATTAAGTGTTTGTTCAAGTTGAAATAGTATTATGTAAATAAGTATACTATTTAGAATGGATTTTGCTACGCAATAGGAATAAACTAGATACTTTAAAATCTATGTAAGGAATTTGAACAATATGGTGCAAAAGTGCACACAATACTCTCCCCCTGTGTAAAAAAATAAGAGGGTCGTACAGAAAGGATAATCTTTGTATACAGGGTGATTCTAAAAAGATGGGCAAATTTTAGGAAGTGATAGTACACACCCAAGCAAACAATTTTTATTAAAGAATGCATGGTCAAAAACAAACCGCAAAGGTGCTGGCGCATTTGGAAAGTTGTTTGATGCAAACGTGAAAGCTCCATTCCTGTTGCGAGTTACTGCGCTGCGTTACTTGTCCCCAAGCTTTCGGCCGCTGCAGGGAAAGTTCGTGATATGCTTGGTTTGTTTCAGAATGTTCGCCTATCTTTTCTTCGCCGCTGTACTACGTGCATAGCCGCTGCCGGCTACTGTTTTGAACACTTATTGTAATCACATGCCATTAAATTTGCTTTTGTAACTTAACTTCATCGTTCTTAGTGTGTTTTTGCCTCATGTAAGAACATAAACTTTGACGCCCACTAGCGGTTTTGCGTTTGGTTTTCGACCATGCATTCTTTGATAAAAACTGTTTGCTTGGGTGTGTACTAACACTTTCTAAAATTTTGCCCATCGTTTTAGAATCACCCTGTATTTAAGCTTTGTATCATACATCAGCTTACAAAGGCATAAGAAACCCACTATATGTTTTCATAGAAGGCACAAGAAGCTCAAATCATTGGGCCTTTCGCATTTTATATGCTTCTTCACATTTTACATGTTCTAATCAATACACTGCTTAGAACGTAGTGGCTAATGTATCTAACTGTTTTAACAATCACTTTATCGTGGACATCATATAGCTGGATTAATGTCGCCTTGACAACGCAAGAAAAACAGATAGAACATAGAGATAAATATCACCCATGCCCGAAGTGGGATTCGAACCCGGGATCTTCCTGATGCGAGGCCACTCCTTGGCCTTCGTCCTAGTTTCGTCATTCTAGTGAACAATCTCCCATAATGCACTAAGATGAGGTTTCGAATTTAGGAAACATTTTCATCATATAATTTAGTTGTTGTTAATTTACGTCGCACTAGAGCTGCACAATGGGCTATTGGCGACGGTCTGGGAAACATCCCGGAGGATGATCCGAAGACCTCCTCTGCGGAGGGGATGGCACCCCCGCTTCGGTAGCCCGACGACCTGCGCGCGAAGTCAAGCACTTTACGGTAGCACAGTTTAACGAGGACCAATACCACACACCCTCGGTCCCTACGCAGACTGATCCAAGTGGTCACCNACAAAAAGCAAAGGTGCTGGCGCATTTGGAAAGTTGTTTGATGCAAACGTGAAAGCACCATTCCTGTTGCGAGTTACTGCGCTGCGTTACTTGTCCCCAAGCTTTCGGCCGCTGCAGGGAAAGTTCGTGATATGCTTGTTTTGTTTCAGAATGTTGGCCTATCTTTTCTTCGCCGCTGTACTGCGTGCATAGCCGCTGCCGGTCACTGCTTTGAACACTTATTGTAATCACATGCCATTAAATTTGCTTTTATAACTTCATCGTTCTTTGTGTGTTTTTGCCTCATGTAAGAACATAAACTTTGACGCCCACTAGCGGTTTTTCGCTTTGTTTTCGACCATGCATTCTTTGATAAAAAATGTTTGCTTGGGTGTGTACTATCACTTCCTAAAATTTTGCCCATCTTTTTAGAATCACTCTGTATTTAAGCTTTGTATCATACATCAACTTACAAAGGCGTAAGAAACCCACTATATGTTTTCATAGAAGGCACAAGAAGTTCAAATCATTGGGCCTTTCGCATTTTATATGCTTCTTCACATTTTGCATGTTCTAATCAATACACTGCTTAGAACGTAGTGGCTAATGTATCTAACTTTTCTGACAATCACTTTATCGTGGAGACCATATAGCTGGATTAATGTCGCCTTGACAACGCAAGAAAAACAGATAGAACATAGATATAAATTTCACCCATGCCCGAAGTGGGATTCGAACCCGGGATCTTCCTGATGCGAGGCCACTCCTTGGCCTTCGTCCTAGTTTCGTCATTCTAGTGAACAATCTCCCACAATGCACTACGATGAGGTTTCGAATTTAGGAAACATTTTCATCATATAATTTAGTTGTTGTTAATTTACGTCGCACTAGAGCTGCACAATGGGCTATTGGCGACGGTCTGGGAAACATCCCGGAGGATGATCCGAAGACCTCCTCTGCGGAGGGGATGGCACCCCCGCTTCGGTAGCCCGACGACCTGCGCGCGAAGTCAAGCACTTTACGGTAGCACAGTTTAACGAGGACCAATACCACACACCCTCGGTCCCTACGCAGACTGATCCAAGTGGTCACCCACCCGCACACTGACCGCAGTCAGTGATGCTTGACTTCGGTGATCTGCTCATATAATTCAGAGTTCCCGTCTAGTTACAAATCACGTGATTTCTTGGCGAAATGATTCTCAAAATTAAACAAATATAGCTCAAGGATTGCTGAACTGTCAAAAGTGAGAGCTTTATTTTTTAAAGTGTGGTGATGCCTTCAGAACCGAAATGATACCGACATAAATAAATTGCGATTTTAAACCCTATTTCTGAAGAGGTTCTTAGTAAAAATTAATGCAAGACTCATTAAAAAAGCTGAATTTAAAAAAAGAGTGGAAATCACTCCTATAAACAATAAATGTTTCATTTATAAATTTAAATTTTTATATCAAGTATATTCTGAACTTTGATTTTAACTTCCTGTGTTCTTCAATTGAAACAAGGACTGTTACTTACTGATTATTCCACTCGAACCGTAGCCATACGCACTGTATGCTGCGGGTGAGTATTGTGTATAGGGAGACGTGTATGCTGCATATTCTGCACCAGTTACACCACCTCCTGCCCCTGGTCCCGTTACTAGAAAGAAAAAAATATTGTGTTAGATTTTTGTACTAAACATTTTCGCACAAATCAATTATATGGTGAAACAATCAACTGAAATTAGATTTTTGACCTTTTTTTACGCAATTAAGCATTTTGACAGAAACAAAATTAACAAAACGTAATCAGTAACAAAATGTAATCAGACATTCCAAAACGTGTATAGTACGCAGTATACGTGTATAGTATGTATAGTACGCAAAAAATATATAATAGTAAATAAATGGATCATTCTGAATAACTTTTGATCTAATGATCGGATCGTCACGTTCTAGGACTCATTGCTAATGGTTTGAAGCGGTGACCTCAAATATGCTAATTAGTTACCACAGACGATGTTTCAAGTTACGAAATCGGGCGTCAAAATGTACTATCTCTTATTAAACATAACTTTTTTCTCTCGATGGATTCGGATTTATGACTCCTAAAATATTGAGGATAGCCACAAAAGAGAAATATGGTCCCAATTGTTCGGTCAAGAGAGTGGTCCGAAGTTTGGACTCTTTAATGCTAATTTTACTTTCTGCGGATTTTGTCAAATCTCTAAAACTTTTTAAGAGAATTGAAAATTTTTGCCTACAATTATAAAATTTGTTTATCTTAAGATAATTCCAAGCAAAAAATATGCTTTCGTAATTATTTATTATTTTATTTAATAGTAGTCAAAAAATTTTGAATTGTGAGGTATATAATTTTTTATATCTTTTTAAAGAATGCAGTTTTACAAAGGCAAAATACAAAATTTGAGCAAAATCAGTCGAATAGTTCCTGAGAAATAGGATTTTAAAAATACGACTTTTTTACTATTCGATTTTCGCGAGAAGGGAAAGATCCGATAATTGTATCAAAAGCTATTCAGGGTGGTCCGTTCGTTTTTTTGCGCACTATACAAAATCAGTCAAAACTTCATATTTTTTTTTCTTTGCTAGACTATAATTTGCTAGACTTTGATTATATTTTACTAGACTTTAATTTGCAAGACTATGTGAATTATAGTCTACAGACTATAATTTGCTAGACTTTAATTATATTTTGCTAAACTTTAATTTGCAAGAATATATGAATTATAGTCTAGTCATTATAGTAAGTTTTCTCGCTTTGATTCTTATTAGCTTCAGAAATATCTATCGATGAAAAACGTAACATTAATAAACGTAACATAACCTAAATCTTAAATAAAAAATAACTTGTATAAAGCACCCATTTTATCAATTTAGGTTGGAGAAAAAAAAGCATAACAGCCATGTTTTCACATCATGGAAAGCAACACCTTCCAATACCTTGCTGAGTACGCAGATCTCTATGAAATTGACGACTTGCAGACATTATCGCTCTGTTCATCTAAGTTTCTGATTCTTTTTTACAAGATTGGAACACAATCCACGCGATTTCGCTTCTGGTTTCTTCACCTTCAGCAGACAACGGAATCCATTCTTATGAGGGGTGCACAGAAAACAGTAGCTAGCGATTGTTTGTTTTTAGGTGGTATGGAATTAATTTTTTTTCCTCTTTTACCTCGTCTCTTTAGGTTACCCAAAATCTTGGCACAGGTTCTTTTCGACTCCAGGTGGTGGGACATCTTCTCGCATGTTGGCAAGATAATGTCAAGAAGTATGTTTCTTCAGTTACGAAAGATCCCGTTCGTGAAATTAAAAAAAATGACGCCTTTGTTTCAGGCTTGTTCTTTTTGAAACATTGGGATTCATTCTCTCAGCTCTATTTTGTAGTTTTCTTTTGATGCCAGGTAAAGTTCAATGACTTGGGAAATAATTTTTTCTTTAATACATACGTTTAGAGTGGGTAAACTGCGATTGAGCCTTATTTAAAGTTTTTATACAAAGTTTGCATTCTTTTGTCAGGGACTACCAATCCCAATTACGATTAGAGTTTAAACTTTAGTTTTGAATGGCGATATGTTTGTTCCGAGACTAGATTATACTACACATTATATGTGCATTGACTTTTATTTTCGGTTACATTATTTTATCTTAGTACATTAGAAAAAATATTGTCGAATATTGACCTATAGTTAACTAAGCACCCGTAGTAAAGTTGTCACAAATTTGCGTGGCATTTTTCTATAAAATATTCACACTTCACGCATTCATAAATTCATATTTTCATATATTCACGAATCTTCACGTTTTCACTAATTTGCATGACAAAGGACTATGGTTTTTTATTATGGTTTTTCCTTAAAAAGTTTTTCTAAGAATGTATTTTTAAAATTTTTTGTTTTGTTTTAACAATGTTTAACATAAAATTGCACTCTGCAAGTCCCCCCCCCCATGGATTCAAATACCAATGTTTAATTTATTTATTTATTTTCATAGTAAGAGGAAAACGTGGTTCAGAATTAAATTAAGAATCGATTGTATTATCTTTCTTGATAAACCACGATGAACCATAGCAAAAGCAGTATGCATCAGCCATCAGAATACTATGCAAGTTGTATCATTGATCAGATATGGATCGAATCTATACATTTCTAATTCATTATGTTGCAAAATCAATTTAACTACTCACTAGTAATTAATTAAGTATCGGATCACTTTTTTGGGAAATTCTACTATTAGTAAATGAGCGGAAGTTTGTTGAAAAAATGGATAGAAATCGATTGCTTTAAAATGACCAGATAATAAATTTTCCGTATTTATAAACAAATAGCCTTCTAGTTGTCGGTAGATTTTGATTTTAATTTTATTGCAGGTAACATATTTACTGCTAGAAATTCAGGAAAGCGATGAAGCACTATCAAATTTGAAGGTGCCAATAGACAACAATGCAAATTAAATCTAATTGAACTTGAAAGCATGATAATTGTTTCAATTTGAGGGAAAAAATGGTTCAAATTATAACCTAATCAAAGCAGTAATAAACTTGTTCAATATTATAATTTCAAACTAACAGTTTTTTTCTGACAGTGTTGAGTAAACGGTATTTTCACAGATTTGGCACAGAAAAACATTTAAGAGTAAATAAATAAATGAACTGTACAACACTATGCCATATTGAGAATAGGTTAGAACTGATTGACCCCATTACTTCAAGTAAATAAGTGTCAAGAAATTAGTCATGAAATTGGTTACTACCAAATGGTGGAAACTATAACAATTTGAATGCGATGATTCGAGTATAAATGAACTCACAAGGTAAAAAGGGTTCTTGTCTATGAAAGCTGATTCTGAACAAAAGCGAATTAAAAGGTTTGAGATTGTTTAGAAACTAACCAATAATTGCGAGCATACGAAATACATGAATATCTCAAGCATTTTTTTATGTCCCCCAAAAATTTAAGAACAAAGCTAATAATTTTTGATGTTGAGAAAAAATATAATTTGAACATCGGGTTGGACAAAAACCGCTTTTTCCACGAAATTCCTTTCTAGTCCTTAGCAGAGCTCCAGTCGTCTTATACACTATGCTTTTCTTCGTTCGTCTTATCTACGCGTGTAGGCGTTTTCTTTTCCATTATGGCCCATCTTCACTGTGTAACAACTCTTAAGGAGAACCGATTTTCCACGTTATTGATTTGCCAAAACTTTGAAATCCTTCAAAATGCAACAGATGAGTGATCCAATCGACATTTTTGTGATAAATGGACATAAACAATTCTTCCCTCTTAGTTTTCAAATAATGGCTTATTTGGTGTTCGTTTGTTTCTTCCTCATAAAAATCATTATAAACTGTAAGATTATTATTGATATTATAATTTTTTTTCTCGTCTTAACCGTTGCTTTGACAGGTTGAATTTCACTCAAGTTCAAAGACACAAGTTCCTTTTTTCCCCCTCCCACCCAAACAAAAAATTAAAGAAAGAAAAAGAAATGCGCTCGGAATGTGGGATGGAAAAAAAATCAGACGGAATGGGGGGGGGGATGAAAGAAAAATTATTTCCCACCAGAAGAATTATATTTCGGAAACCGAAAGTGCTAACAATGCATCGGTTTTTTCAGTTTCGGAAGAGTAGATGGTTATAGAGGGTGGAGGGCCGACATGGGGGTGGTGTTCTATCAGAAGGTATTTCATCTGTCAACCTGTCCACTGTCGTGCGTCCCGCGGGACAGGGAGGGTGGGACGCCGTGGGAAACAAATCGACATCATCCTTGCCGGGACTTTAGTCTCTAGATCCCAAATGCGGGATTGACTTTTTGGCGGTTTTATCTCTCTTTGGCTTTCTTTTCTTTCCCTATAACATCTTAATTACTTAATTATACATTGAGAGCTAAAATCAAAATTAAAAAAACAAAATATGAGAAATATTTCCTAAAGGTTCTTATTAAGGGGTGGAGAAGGTTGCAAAATTGCATTTTAATAAAGTATTCTCATTTAGGTAGACTAACACATAACTAGATATTTTTTGTTTTATTCTGTTTGGTACGTAAGCGAGTTAATATTTTTTCTTGATTCATTATTCTTTAAAAATACGATTATTCATGACTTTTTAGAAAAAGTCGGACGTTTTATTACAACTTATAAGTTTAAAAGCTGCAAATCTCATTAAACTAAATTAATTGATATCAAATAAATCTTTTTATCAAATTATTAAAAGAAAATTACTCAATTTACAAAGAACTTCTAAGCTAAATTTTTGTCTTATTTTGTTAAAACGAATAAGCATTTTTTTTTTAATAATTTACGATCATTAGAAAATAAAAATCTTTAGTTATACTTGTATGAATACGTAGTGTACATTTAAACAAATTAAAAATTTCATCGGAAATAAGTATTTGTACTCAAAATTATGAGCGTTGCGATTAAATTATTCGTTATGAATGTTTCAGCAACTATGATACTTAAACCTGTATGATAACTGACTTGAAAAATTTGAAAGCAAAATTTTTACTGGTGGATTGTATTCCTCTATAATTCCATAATTAATTTTTGATTATTTTATTCTTAAAAATTTTAAGATGTAACAGTAACAGAAAAAATCATTCTTAAACTAGTATTCATTAGATATCTTCTTGTATTGG